GCTGCTGCTGCTGAACTTTGAACTAAAGTCTTATTACAAATGTCAGCTAATCGAACAATATTGAAAATAATTTAATTGAAAGATTGTGGTCCAACAAACATCATATCCACACATCAATGGACCGATGGCCACCGGCGGCAGTAGCAGCAGCAGCGGCAATAAAACGAATGAGAAATGCCATTTTAATTTTCATAATAAAACTAATTGAATTCAAACCCCAAACAAAAGCTACAGCACTCCATCTGCATAGGAGAAGAGTAACAGGCATTTGGAAAATACTAAATTTCCACAGAGACACATTTTAGTTTCACAAAAAGACCCCGACACGATTGTGTAGTTCGGTCGAGCGAGCGAGCAAGCGGTCAGCCAGCATATGATTGTGTTTTTCCATTAAAAGGATTTTTGTGCAAAAATTTGGGCCTCACCAGTACCATGATGATGTAGTAGTAGTAGTAGTACAGGCTGCCATCAAAAGGTGCTTAATGCAGCCACGCATTCATACACTTCATGAGTATGAGGCGGCAGCATCACCACACCCACCTTGCGCACATATCCCTCACTCCCTTTCTCCCTCTTCTCTTTGGGTACTAAAACAATTCATATCGAGAAAGTCCAATGAAGTAGAGGTAGAGCTTGTTTTGGTGGCAACAATTAGCGTAATTTGAATTGTGTTAAAAATTTTATGAAATTACCCAACAGAAATGGTAATGTTTGCTGCAGCTGTTTTAGCTGGCACAGTGGAACGAAAGCAGAATTTTTAGCACACATTCACAATTTTGGATAAAGTTTCACAAGAAATCAGCTATCCTCCAAAACAATTTTTAAGTTCCGTAATATGGGGTCTATACTTATATCTAAAGCTGTGTCAATATAATTCGATCATTTTTTCCGAGGGCTCTGATATCCGATTTTTTGAAGAGATTTTCTATCGTTTATCCAGAAAAATTTCCAAGTAATCTGCAGAGTCTTTTTTCTTTCTCCCTTTTTTGACGAGATTTTTTGCCGTTCATTCCGAAAAGTTTCCGAGTCCTCTGCACATACTCTTTGTTGTGTATTTTTTATTTTATTTGTATTATTTAGATGCGGCGTTGGAACATGCTCCTGGAACTACTTGAAGTACCATAGAAACAAACATCAAACAATTTTCGGACAAATCATCCGACAATATTATTTTTTTCCGATAACCTTCCGAATTCCGAAAAATTTGTCAATTTTTTTCCAATTTTCGGATAAAAATATGAATTTTTTATAAAACATTCGAGAATTTTCAGCATTTCGGATCAAAAAACAGAATTTCGTATCAAATTCTATATTTCTCCGATTTTCGGATAAAACTGTAGAACAAATTCAGTTTTTATTCCGAATTTCGGTTCAAACATACGAACATTTTGCTAATTTGGTATCAAATATACAAAAACGTTTTTCGAAATTTTCCTTTTTTCTTTTGCGAATTCTGATCGAATTCGTCACGAAATTCTAATATTCTTTCGGTATTTTTCCAAAAAAAAAAAAACTTTCAGAATCTTGGGAAACCTCACACAATTTTATTCCGAGGAGTTCGTTTCGAATTTGACATCAGAATCGGAAACTTGTGCAAAGAAAAAAATCTGAAAAAATTGTTGGCTCCGTTCGTCTGTATTACACCTATGCGTATGAGTTATATAAAGTATAAAAAATCACTCATACGTTAAAGAACTGATGTACTGAACTATGAACGAGATTGACACAACTCTACTTATAACGGTACTATTCCTAAGAATGGACCGATATTCTCCAAAACCCCAGCAATTGAGCGATGTATTTTATTACGAACTTCAAACGAAAAATATATAATTTTATCATCCAAATATAAAGCGTCGGGAGGTACCGTTCGTTCCAATTTATGGCAATTATACGAAAATATCGACTTGTACAGTCATTTTTTGCCATAGTAGGTGGATCTAGTCCGAACTCCAGACACCCATTTTGAGAATATTTCGTTGGGAAATGGTTCTAAGTTCATGCAAATACCAAATTTCGGGGTGTACCGTTCTATGGAAGCTATACGAAATCCTTAATTTGTACAGACAACTTTATCCCAGGAAAGATGGAAGATGGGATCTATTACAAGCTCCAAATGCGAACTTTCCCTTGAAAAATGTATCTGAAATCATCTAAATACCGAATTTCGGAACGGGGTATATACAACAATTCAGACCTGAATGGACAGTTCTTTGCAAGGATGTCTTCTATATGCCGAGAAGATCAAAAATACTTATAATCGGGTTTTAATGACCAGGATGTATGCGATAACAAACCGAGGACCCATATATCTCCTTTTTAGTAGCAAAAATTCTACGGACATAAATGCAGGAGCAGCAGATGGACGGACGAACCATAGCTTAATCGACATATAACAAGGTGCATTATTTTATGGAATTAGTCCGCATTCTTTGTACCTTGATATTATAGATTTTAAACTCACGACTGCTTGAGTAAAACAAAATGCTGCGCCAAGGTTTTCGCGTATACTTCGCAAAAACGCAACATTTGAGGGAGGATGGGAGGGTAAAAATTCAAAAACTGGCTAGACGGACAGACGGTCCAGAAAAGAAGATATGTTCCCGCGTGTGGTCGTTATGATTGTTGTTTTGCCATTGTAGCACGCTAATACCATTGATATTTCAATCACTTAACACAACACCAGTTAGCAGTAGTAACAGCAACAAAAACAATGATACAATATTCCAGGATTTGTGTTGGTGTCAGCACTTCTACATTCCACTCACCCGCCTTTCCGCCCAATAAAAGACCTTTACACCAGTGATGACAATGCAAAAAATACACACACACACAAAGCCACGCTTTTAACGTATTTACCAACGATTCTAGGGATTTTGTTGTTGTAGTAGTAGTAGGTAGCCGTTGTTGCATTACTTTTGGCGTTGATTGTTTGTAATTTTGTCTAATTGCTTCGGTAAGAAAAACTCATTGCCCCCCACCGATGCAAACGAAAAACAAAACTCAAAAGCATGTGGACAACTTCTTTTTTTGTTGAATTTCATGTTCAGTTGTGGCCGGCCAATTGAAGAGCGAAAAAAAGCAATAGAAACAACCTCAACAGCTTCTACGACAATTACAGACTAACCATTCATTGCCACTCGCAGATCAAAAGGAATTGTTAAATATACAATAACAATTTCATTTTAATTGATATTTTGTCACACAGCAAAAAAAAAGAAAAAACAACAACAACTACAACAAATCAAAGCTTTTTTGGCTGGTTAATTGATAAAGCAGTGCAACTTTGAAGTTTTTGATTGATACGCAACAATTTGAGAATTAAACAGAGAGCCAGGGGTGCGATGATAATGGGGAAATAAATGTTCGAAATGGAGTACAATTCTAACAAAAATATAGCTGTTAAGCATCAAATACGAAAAAATCGAAACGTTTACCTGCAACTTTCTAATTGTACAAACTTGCATTTTTCAATTTCTTCAGAAACACAAAAATCTCTTTGATAATTTTTATTAAATTTAATTGTCTGCCCTGCCCTTCCATCCAACTCCACCGCCAATCATCATCGACATTATTTATTGTGACACATAATTATCAAATCAAAGTTACAATACCGACAATTCCCCCAAGGAGAGAATATCCTTGTTTTTGATTTTCTTTTCTTTTGTTGCAAAAACAAACGCGACAAACATTCAAAGCCATCAAACACAGCGCCACACAAACAAACAACAAAAATCCAAAAGGGAAAATTTAATGTTTTAATAATAATATTTTTTATAATCATTTCAAAAGGAGTCAGTTGTTATATCTGACAGACACAAGAAAAACTCTCAACACCCAACAACCGCCCACACTCATTCACTCGTCAGAGAAGGTAAACAAAAAACACACACACAGACAACCACCACAATAATAACTCATAAACTGGGGCTATTTGTTGAGCATAGAATTGCCATTTTACTGAGAATAACAGACAATGTAATCGAAAGAGAGAGAGAGAAAAATAACAGGAGAGTACATTGTATGGGGCATTCGTATACAGGTGATGGCGGTTGTATATGGAGTGGTATGAATGCAGCAAACACGTGCACGTGCTTTCTCATTTGTAAACATGTGGAGGCACAGCAGAAAGAGAAAAGAGAACAATATCCATATAGTAGTTGTTAATAGGAATGTAAGAGAAATTAAAATCGTTTTAAACGGGAAAAATATAATTTCAATCATATTTATTGGAATATTTCTGTCGAAATGAACATTTTTAAGGATCTACTTTTTATGTCGCACTGCAGTAAAATCCAATTCTAAGTAAATCGATTAAATAAAACCGTGTGACACAAGTAAAATCGATTAACATTAGATCTGTTCGACAACTCGATCATTTTTATGGAGTAAGTCTTGGGGAAAGGCCTATATAAAGTTGGTAAGTAAGCCCATCTTTTAACTAAGTTTGCTATCAAAGAACATATTATGATTAGAAATTCAAAGAGATTCAAATAAAAATAGTGCAAAATCTACTAAATTTATTCTTGGCCGACCTTATATAGGCCTTGAGTTTCTTGATAAAAATTTGAAACCGCCTGGAGTTTCCTGATAAAAATTTGAAAACACTTTCATTTACATACATCTTTGAGTCATCGGACTTTATTCCGTAATAATTTGTATAAATTATGGCAAATTATTGGACAATCCTATATTCTTTTCACAAAAAATGTATGTTGAAATAAATGACAAGAATAACTATTAGAATAACATTTCCATCCCTGGATGATATGTTGACAAAAGAGCAATCAAATCGACTTCTCTTTTCAAATCGACCAAAAGAGAATGCAAGAGAGCAATTGACTCCCTCTTTTAAGCCAATTGTCGTCGTCCTTTTTACAATTAGGTATGCACATTACAACCGCCAAAACCAAAGGAATAAAACACGCACACACACACTCAAACACAAGTAAAATACGCAAAATAAGTGAATCGAATTGAACTGCAAGAACGTCCTGTGACATGTGTATAAATAGGCAGGTTAAATGATGGACGGTTAACAGTTTTAAACGAATTATCAACGCGACAGGACACAGAGTGCGGCCAATAAAAAACGAACGAACAAAATTCAATTAAAAGCGCTTTCATAAATCAAATGAATATATATCACAATAAACTTTTATCAATGAATTAAAATACAAAAATGTTTACAAATTGGCTAACTGGCACAACGGGTAGTTCCTCCTCCGCCTCGTCGATAACGTCGTCTTCCGCCGGTACAATAACAAATCGTTTACATGAAACGCCGGTTCAAACACCGAATGGATTATCATTGGCCGCCAGTGGTTTAAGTGCAACTCTAAATCCAAATATGTTAACAACGCCGCCCGATGTTATTCTGGAAGTGGGGCCCGGACCCACAACTATGCGTTTCATGGCCCACAGCATAATGCTGGGCATGCATAGCGGTTATTTACGCTCCGCAGTACGGTTAGATGAACGTGGCGCTGGTGCTGCACACTCCCAACACGGTGGAGATTTTGTAGTGTATTTAAGCAATGTTACACCGGAACAATTTGCCCCGCTCTTATCCTACATGTATACCGGATATTTGGATTTAAATGTGGAAAATATCTTTGGTGTCTTGTTGGCTACTCATGTCCTGCACATGCCAAGAGCCTTGGAGATTTGTAGGTGGGTTGGACAATGATACACACCAATAGTTAATGAAATTAAACGGGGTAAAATGACATGATCGGCAATAGTGAATTTCATTAAAAGAGAAAAATTACAGGCGACCTCCTAATTAAACACATGTATTTTATAAATATTTCAGATCCTATTTGGCCCGTGCCCAAGCTGAGGGCTATTTTGGCAATAGTAATACGACTCTTTCAAATCCGCTCAACAATACAGCCACCAGCCTTGCTAGCCAACAAGCGCCGAAAATTATTAGACCAATTGCGAGTAAACCACAATTGGCCAATTTTGGATTTTTACCAATAGGACATACTATGCCCGTAACACCCTCATTGAATTGTCGCACCTCGACAATAACGTCAGGTTGCAGCAACAATGCCTCGGCCATCTCCGCCACAATATCGACACCTATGGGAAAAATTCTCGAAATGGAAACAAATAAAGGCGATGAAGGCGGTGACATTGAAGTTGATGAATTAGATCGACAATCAATGACGTCCAAGGGACGTAACTATGCCCCCCCATCGGCAATTGTCACAAACAATGTTCCTCCCACTCACGAGGATGACGATGAGGATGTGGAAGTTTTTATCGACACAACTTCGGAAGATGCTGATGTAGTTGTTGAATGTGATATACAACAAAAAATATCCTTCAAAAATCAAAATCATAAAATTGCAAATACTGGCAAGGAGTCTGCGGCAGCGGCGGCCTCCTCACATCACTCCAGCTCGCATGGACACAATAGGAGACATGATAAAACACACAAGAAATCATCACACAGCAGATCAGATAAACGCCGAAAGTCTGGCAACAACAATTCGTTGTCCTCGACGGGCCTGCAAGTGGCCAAGGCTCCCATACCAGCCTCACAACTGGATACTTCAGAGGCCAATAAGGTGATTATTGATGTGGCCAGTTGTGATGGCCCGGTGCGTTTCAAACGTATACTCAACACAGCCTACGGCCATAAACCAGAAACATGTTCAGCTGCAGCAGCAGGCGCTGCTAATCACCATCACATGAATGTGACACCCGGCCAAGAACGTTCCCTACAAAGCGTTTCCTTGTCCTTTCATCAACAAATGGCAAAAACCATTAGCCAACAGCAACACCTCAACAATGCCGAAGAATCCGAGAATAGTGAGACATCAAATGGCAGTATTGGCACTGGGAACAATGGGGGTGTTGGAGGAGGTGGTGTTGCTGGCGCTCCGAAACTTGGCCGTAAAATACAAAACGAAATTTTCGTTTGTGTCTACTGTAAACACACATTCAAATCACAATACTGTTATCAGAAACATGCTAAGCGCCATCTAAATCCATTAACCTTACAAGCTACTTGTGTTCCCCCGCCTGAAAAAAGGACCCTCAATGATGAGAGCAGTTCGACAATGACCACGACAGCAGCGGCATCATCATCTTCATCGCTTATGGCCACAACGGAACAACAATCATCATCAAATTTACAAAAAATACGACCATTTGTGTTGAGGAATTCCGGAATGAGTGGACAGCAATCAGGCGGCGCCGGCGGTGGCAGTAGTAGCGCTGACTTTTTAAGACGCGAAGTTCGTCCCTTGGATATGAATGTACAATATTATCCGTGCAAGACGTGTGGCTGTAAATTTCCCAGTTACTATTTTGTACACAAACATCGTAAAATGTGTCATGCCGAGGAGGAGGCAGCTGCCGCTGCGGTAGCAGTCCAACAAAATGTCAATGGCAATAATGGTGGTGCTGGTACTGGTACATCATCATTGGAAGAATCAGCACAGACAGCCAATGAGGACGACAATCATCACATGGATGAAGAGACAAAGGAGAAAAACTAAACTTTGCAAGACGAGATCAATTGAAAAAGAAAAGAAAAAAATACAAAAGGAAAGTAAAAATTAAAACACACACATATCGAGCTTTAGCATTAAATGTCAAAACAAAACCAAGGAAGAGGATATCTATTTCTATGAAACGCACGAATTTAGTTAAAATAGCTATAATAAAATATAAATTATTTCAAAGAACAATTTATTTATAAAAAAAAAGAAATTGATCTAATAAATTAAAAATATTTAATTTGAGTTACATTAAAATTAATTACAATATATGAAGTATATTAATTAATAAAGATAGGTTAACACTTTCAGAAAGTAAAATATGTTAAATGTTCATTCCATGGTACAATAAAATTGTGCCATGGTTCACCCCTTACAAAACAAAACCTTAAATGTTAAACACTGATCGACTGAAAGGAACCCCAAAAATAGTCATTTTAATCTTATTTTAATTACTATTTCAATTTTAATCATTTTAATACTATTTCAATTTTTTTTTTTTTTTTTTTTTTTTTTGAAGAATTAGAGTCACTTATTTAGACGGCAATGTGCACAAAAAATATGTTATTTTGTTTTAAATTTCAAAATTTTTTCTGAAAATTTCTAAGCTCTGTATTTAAGGTTTCATCATGGATTGCATAATAAATTATGTATAAATTATGTCGAAAATTCAACGCAACTATTATAAAGATATAAAGGCCATTCTAAAAAAACAATTCTCGAAGTCCTACTAGCAAAACAAAGCCTGGACAACAAACCCCAACAAATTATACAAATTAATTTTTTGCATTCAATTCTTTGGTTGTTTTTGAAATTTAAAGTTTCCCAGCGAAATGCATAATGCCAAAGAAGTTGTTGAATTTTGAGTTCAAGTGATTCCGGACTGCATCATTTTGAGTGAAAGAAGTCATTATTTTTACAAGGGCGTTGTTGCGGCTAGGAATCAGTCCATATTTTATCTGGATAGTGGCCTTTGCAAGGCTCCTTGGAAATGGCTAAAGAAGAATTTCTTGAAATATTTTTAGATAATGTTTGAAGTTCCGGTGAAGGCTTTCATTTGAATCCCATTTTCCGACTTTAAAACTATTAAAAACGACTTAAAAAATATTTTTAGTAATTTTTTAAATATTTAGATTTGCATGTTTAAAGAAAAATTAAAAACACTACCAATATTCAAAGGCAAATTGGAAATTTTGTTGAGATATAAAGAAGAGAATCCCTCTTTCATGATTCCAGGGTTTCATGATGATAAACTGCAACCAACTTCAGACTGCTGTCATTTCTAAGCCAGCTCATTATATTGTTTACAAGCGTACAAAAGCATTTTGATGAGAATTTTCCAGAAAAAAATATCGCAATATTCCATTCGCCAACTATGGGAAAAATGAGCTCGGGGTAAAGCCATTGAAATTCCAAAAAGTGCAAGAACTTACACCGCAACAGAGAGAAAATAGACTCAAATGAGCTAATGCGTTGCTTCGCTTGGCCGAAAGTGGTGAACTGCCGAATTTGGTTTTCTCCGCTCCGATGAGAAAAAGTTTGTTGTCCAACAGTTTGTAAACAAACAAAATGATCGTGTTTACTTGCCAAAGAGGTCAAATGCGCACCTTCGGTTGGGCAGCAGACTTTTGTGCCTGCGGGCAGCGTATGACGGTTTCATTGGTCGTTTGAAGGCCATAATTCGTGCCAAAGGCAACCAATTCGAACAAATCTAAATTTATTCTAAAATTTGATGCTATTTCCCACATTTTTTGCTTTCATTCAATAAAAATTAAAAAAAATGATGATTTTTTCCTTTGTTGCAGTTTTTTACTTCACGCTGTATATGTGAACTGCAGTGATCGTATAATTGATTCAGAACTAATTCTGGGTTGAAATTCTCATAACATTTCTATGGTGTTATTAAAACTGATAAAATTCCATTTCAGGACCCTTTGTAGTTTGCGCAGAAGAGATAGAAGCCGACAGTTTTACATTGAAATAATGGATTCCGAAAAGAACTCAAAGTTTAACTTATATCAGACTGAAAGAGCAATACCCATTTTTTACCCAAAGGACAAACATGTACACATTCCAGAGATATTAATTCCAGTTTAAGACTTTGAATGAAAAAAGCCAAATGACCCTCCACGTCAATAATTAAATATGGCAATCTACCTTCGCCGGCATGTGTATACATACACACACATGTATATATCTACTTGTGTAATTATGTGATATAACTTTAATTATGATATAAAAATGCTGTGTAATGCGCTGGCCAGAGTTACAAAAAAATCTATGCAATTTAATTAATCAAAAAATAATAACAATGATTTAATCGAATATGCATATTAAATTAATTAAATTCCCCTTAAACACAACAAAATAATAAACCATTCGGAGGAGGAGAAGGGAGGTGGGTGAGCAAAAGTTGACACACTACAACAAACAATGTCCAGCAGCACAACAAACAATCATCGACATTAATGTGATAAGTAAATTTAATAAAAGTTACTTTTAACAATGCATGCAATCAAACAACCTCACGCCCTCCCACCCCCCATCCAACCATTCGCCCATGTCAGGCTCAAAACTATATTCTATTGGCCTTTAATGTTTCCCCCTCCTTTAACATAATGTTAAGTGTTTATTTTTCATAAATTAAAATATTAAAAAAAAATCAAAACAACAGCAGTTCCATACATGATAACTACCCAGCTACGGACCAACCAACTAACCGACCGACCACCTCTTCTCAATTCCACAGGGATCCAAAAAAAGGGTACACATGCTCGCAAAAAAGTGTAAAAAATAACATCAACTAAATGACAGCCATCTACCGGACGGGCACACACACAACACCAGGCGTTTAACACAAAAAAATTTAATTTAATTGAGTTTAATTAACTCACTGGGGAGACAAATGAACGGACGGTGGAAAATGTGCAACAAAATAAAAAGGAACTCAAAATCAAATTTCAAATCCAAAAAAAAAAGAAAAACACAAAAACTCAAATCAACGCAATGCAGCAAATGGTGGGGTAGTAACGATGTTGTTGTTGTTCTTGCTGGAGCCAGTGGCAGCAAATGGAAACACACAATTCCCCTTTTTCACGCTGCCAATAATTTAACCATAAACGAAAACATTTTAAATGACAACAACAACAACAACAACAAAACAAAAGAAAACGCACACTCGACAAAAAAACAAAACAAAAAAGCATTGGCAAACCAACCAGGAGAACCAAATATGAAGCATAGCCTAAAGGGGTAGTACCATGGATAGATTGGGCGAAAACACTGGCTGGGGATAGAATGGCAATGTGGCAGGGCATATTTTTGTGATGATTGTTTTTTACCAGCCATCAATTATTCATTGAGACATTCAAAAGATGACAGCATAACGGCACAGATCCCAACATTGCAACCAACCGAGCGAGTGAGCGACCATCATCTCATCACAGCTCCGAGGGGGACTTTTGATTTCTTTTTTTTTTTTCATTTCTCGTATATATTTTGGTAAATGTATAAATTACATTAAATATAAATCGTTGGTTGCATACATTCATTCACTCACTGGCGTTTACAATCAAAGGTATATAAATGTGGGTGTGGGTGTGTGTGTGGTGCATACCCTTTTCAGCTACTACACCCTTTGCCTTCTTTGCCCTCTTTAGTGCTCCCAAAAAATATGCACAGCTATTTAATTTTTAAAGTAAAACACGAGGGCCGTTGTCGCCACTGCTGTTGTCTTGTTGGACCATCTCTCGTTCACTCTCTGGTTGGCTTGGTTTGTCGTGGCCATCAGCAGCCGCCCGAGCAAAAGCACTGGCCCCCGCCGCTCACTAAGGGCCAACACAAATGTAAGCAAAAGAGATCTCTTGCATAATTTAAGGCATTTTAACGTGCATTCTGTTTTGACTCCTTTTTTTAATGAAATTTTCATTTATTAAGATAATTGCCTCGCTTCGCGTTTGGTCTCACTCGTTGTTTCCACCCCCCTTCCCCACCCCTCGTCGTTTCCCTGCTCTCTACAAACAGTTTTTATTGGGGTTTAAGTGTTTCCGCATGATGAATTTGCCAAGAGGGCATCATTTAAAATAAAGCAGATTTCTGAGTGATTTAAATAGAGAATAAAAGCGAAATAATAAATAGAAATGCGACAGCAAATAGCTGCGAATGAATATTGATGACGTGGGAAGATATTAGGTAATATCGGAACCTTCGAAAATAAACATATATTTATATGAAGAGAAGCCTGAGTTAGGAGAGTACCTCCTTAGACGGCTTTTTTTGTGTCCAGGACATAGTTATACAATTGGGAATAAAATGGCTGATGAATTAGCTCGCAGTGGTGATGAGACAGTCAAATAACTGATAAGCTATTACGTCAGTAGCTTTAAGAAGCCTCGCACGGAAAAAGTTGGTAGGATATGACAACTGGAAACCGTTAGAAAGGCATCTAAGGTAATCCACCCGGTACGGACGGTAGACATTTTAACTGGCCACTGCAGCATCAGATATCTGATTTCAAAATGGATAACAGTGGCCCTGACTATTGAGAGACTATGTGGGAATGAATAGCCTACTACTAAAACACCTCTACAAACCTTTCTCTGTTTCTTTTCTCTATTTATCACTTATTATTATTCTTTGCACTACTCAACTTAAAATCCTTAATTCTTTTTATAGAGGAACGTTCTTAGTTTGTAAAATAGTTGCCAGACTTAGTTTCTGTGATTTAGTATTTGTAGTGTTTAGTTTTACTGTAGTTTAATTTAGATACTTTAATTCTTTTAATTGTTAAACCGGCTGATGCTCTAATATAGCCGGTTTCCCAAGTCTACTAACCCCCTATAATCCGGACTATGGGGTGTACGTGCTCCCTACGTTATGGGGAGGTGGCCCTCTCGGTCAGCAGAGGCGGGAAAGTGAAACGTTGGGAACGATCGAGAAAAAAAAAAAAGTTCACCCTACGACTCAATGAACGGGGTCAATGGCGGAGGCAGTCCTTTGGACAATCGGGCTATAACCAGTGATCGGGCTATAACCAGTGATCGGGCTATAACCAGTGATCGGGTTATAACCAGTGATCGGGCTATAACCAGTGATTATATATCACCCAGGCCAAGTTTCGAATCAGTGGACATCCATATACCAACAAACAGGGACATCTGGACCCGGAACACACCACCTTTTAACGGTATAGCTATCTATACCGATGGTTCAAAGATGGAGAGTGCCACGGGAGCTGGAGTCTACTGTGCAAGCTTGAATATCCGGATATCCTTTAAATTAAACAACGAATGCAGCGCCTTTTTCAGGCAGAAATCTTTGCTATCAGGAAAGCCATGGAGCTGTTGGAAAATAGAATCAATTAAGTCAACAGACCGGTGACTATATAGGTCGATAGTCAGGCGGCCTTGAAGGCTCTTAATTCTGTTACAATCAAATCTATGGTTATTCTGGAATGCAGAAATGCTCTGGAAAAGTTTAAGACGTCTGTCGTCAAACCTTGTTGGGTTCCTGGTCATTGTAACATATCCGGCAATGAATCAGCAGATCAATTGGCCAGAGGCGGATCTGAATCAGTAGATCTAGAGATCGATAGCTTACTGAAGCCACCATTGTGTCATTTCTTCCAATTATTACATAAGCACTACCTTAGGAGACTTAATCAGAACTGGAAGGGGTTGTAATATCTCCAAAAAAAAATATGGCCAGGGATGAATGTCACTCATCTCCTTGACGAAATCTGATCTAAAGCTTATGGTAGGCGTAATTACAGGACGCTATAACAGAAGGGCCGTGACTTCAAAGTGAATGCTGCAGGCTCTGTCAGGACGAGGAGGAAACCGAGACGGCGGAGCACTTACTCTGCCAACTCTTTACGGAGTCAAACATAGTCAAACAAATTCTACCCATCTTACCTTCTTTTTCTGAAACCGAGCCAGCAGTCATGTTTTAATTAGCCAGAAAATTTAAATAGCTAAAGGCAACACGCTGATCACACTTTCATGCTCCTCGCTTCTTCATCTATTTCTTCTAAACTTTTCCTTTTGCTATATTTTCTTATTTTACCCTCATTCTACATTGAACTTCTTCTCTAAATAGGATGAACGCAATGTTTTAAACAACCACGCATCATTTAACCTAACCTGTTATTATTCTTAGGATAACCACAATGGTCCAAAGGTCTCTCTTAAATCAAACCAAATCAACAGCAACGCACTGAAGATTGAACGAGGGTTTTAATGAACTGAGCTGCGAATTGACCTAACTGCAATGCAAGTCCATTCACCACAGAGCCAACGGCCACCCTCTCCAATGCAAGGCCTGGGAAGATGAGAACACAGCTGAATGTGTCGAGGTCGAGGAAAATATTATTTCGACCACGAACTACCCTAAGATCCTAGGAGTCACATTCGACAGCAAGTTTAAGATCTGCGAGAAATTGAAAAGTAAACAAAAATACGAATGCAGGTGCTACGCAGTGCAAGAATATCCAAACCTGCCAGAATGCTGCCCTGAGAACTGCTACAGGGTGCATCCTCATACACCAGTTGACCATCTACATTAGGAAGCGAAAGTCCATCGTGTGCGGTTTTGCTAGTAGTTATTAGTGGTCTAAAATGATATTTTTTCTCAAAACAAATGAAAGATTCAATTTACATTGTTTTAACTAACCCCCCTCCCAAGTGATTCGATTGTTTTATATATGTCTCCGTCAAATATAACAGATTTCCATTTGCATGTTCGTCGTACATGGAGATCATAACAATAAACTTACCTTTACCATCGATGACATTCACATCGCCGCCCACCAATGATATTGTGGTCGTTACACCGCCAGCATTCGATAATGATGATAATGCATTGGTTGTATTGTTGTTGTTGTTGCTATTTGCGGTGGAGGAATTTGATGTTGCGACGGAATGTGTCAACGCTGCACCACCGTGGATTGGAGTCGTAACATTCGACGATTTGGTTGATGAGGCTGCAGCTGCTGCCTGCGCTGCCGTACCTAATAGATTAACGGTATGACATGCAGGCCCGGAACCCAAGGCGATATCATTTGCATTGTTGTTTTTATTGGCATTGCTATTGTTATTGGCAGGATTGCTACTTGTTGTTGCTGTATTACTAGCATTAGACAGAGGTTGCTGTTGTTGTTGATTAATGATGATTGAGGTGTTGGTGGTGGTAGCATTGTTTTGTGTTTTGGATAAACTTGTTGCAGAAGAACCGTCCAAGTCCAGACGCTTCTTTTTGGGATCACTGCAAGAACAAACAAAGAAAAAAAAACAAACATGATCAACCGACATGAAACATCTAAAAGTGACATCTCCAACTTACCTAACATCTGAGTTGCAGTCATTGTTTGTTGATGCGGCACTTGCAGCACCAGCACCCATAAGACTTTCGACCTGTGCTACTTTTAGCTTTTGGCCCAAGAAATTGCCAGCCGTTGTTGAGGTAGTCGGTGTAGTAACATTATTGGATGTACTTGTTTTGTTGCTGGTGGCGACGGCGGCAACGCTTGCAGCATCCATTGGCGTTCCGGCTGCGGCATTTTTACCATTACTGCTGCTGCCCGTGGATAGTTTGTCATTGCCAGTTGTGGACGATGACGCCGGTTTGTCTTCGTTGTTGATACCTGTCGTCGCTGCAACTGCTGTTCCTGTTGCTGTCGTGGAAGATGGTACAGATGGTGCCAAAATTGGGGTAGCTGTAGCACTTGGAGCTGCCATTGCAACAGCATAACAAGTTTTGATGCCATTGGGCGTTGATAAGGGCGGATGATTTGAATTTGTATTTGTTGTAACAACAGTCGTCGAAGATGACGTCGATACTTGCGGGTTGCTGGTGGTAGTGGTGGGAACTGACCCACTATCCTCGAGCTTCTTGGGTACAGCAGAAATCTGATCACCACCAGACGTCGTTACCGAGGACGCCGTTGTATCCACGGTTTTCTTGTCCTCTTTTGCTAGGACTCCCCCTGTCGTCTCTGATGCTTTTGTATCTTCCACATTGCCTTCAGCAGACGTTTCCGCAGATGTTGCTTTCGTTTTAGCTGCAGTTCCAGTGGATGCCGTCGTTTCGGTCGTCCCGGCTTCGCTTGATGGTTTGTCTGTTGAAGTCGTCGTCGTTGCCGTTTTGTTTCCACCCGGCGTCGAACTTGAACTCGAACCTTTGTTCTTCGTTCTCACCGAGGTGGATGCGCTGGTGGTTGTGTCAGCCGCAGCTATGCCTGGGGAGACTGTTTCAACATTAGATGTTGTCTCGTTCTTGGCAGCTGCAGCAGATGCTGCTGCCTTGGCTGCGGCTTTGGCCGCCTCTGCTGCTGCTTTCTCAGCTGCTTTTTCTCGTTCAGCCCTCTCGCGCTCTCTTTCTGCAGCAGCTGACCGCCCACCGGTCTTCTGCTGCTGTTCTCTCTGCAATCTCGTTGTAACACCTGTCGTCAGCGAATCTATGATGCACTGAGTCTGTTGCTGTTGTGTCTTCTGCAGCGTCTTTGAGGCTCTGGTTCTCTGTCGCGATTTTCGCAACAGCTGCTTGTAATTCTCGGTCTTTTTGCTGAGGTAGTAGTAACGAACACAGTCCTGGGCCGATTTTCGGTCCAGGCTGGCTGCTATCGCCCCAAAGTTTTTGGGGTGTTGCAGGAATTTCTCTTTGAAAATCTCCTTCTCACCGGTTGTCCAGACATTCAAGGCGCCTCGCTCCTTGTGCACAGCCACCATGTCTTCGACGAGACCATTCTCATTGTGATAGACAAATTTGCGCTGATGAGCGTCATACATAATCGGTGGTATAATGGCGTACGACCTCATCTTCTTCACTTCCATAGCCTGCTCTTGCAGGCCGTCCATAATTTCTTCGTAGTCTGCTTCGGATTTAATGCGCGAACCGACACGATTGAATCGTTCCTTGTCCTCGCGCTGCTTGCGCAATTCCGTAAAGACTTTTTCGAAAAATTCCCGATTTTTAGCTTCTCGAGCTTTGCGCTTGGCGCTCGCTTCCGATTTGTCTACACGCTTCTGCCACTCGGCAGACATTTGGGCATATGTGTCCACCAGCTTGGTGCGGTGTACATGGCGATCGTGCTTTATTTTGCGTATGTACTCCAGCAGTGGGGCTTTTATTGTGGTCTGATGGCGTTGCAGCAGAGTCGTCAGATGTTCTACATCTAAGGGCTGGTTGTACAACGGTAACAGGTTGCGTTCGCCACAGTTGTCGAGTATGGAATGTTGTGCGGCGGCCGTTTTACGGTTCGCCATGTAGATTTTTTGGGCCAATGTTTGAGTACGCCACGAATTGGCGGCATCGTCTTCGACATCGGCCAAAGCTTTTTTCCTTGCCGCCTCGGCCTTCTCCTGTATCTGTTTGGCTGCGGCCAGTAAACTCTTCTCCTTCTTCCGCAGTGATTCCAAGGAGCTATCGGCCCCGGTGATCTCTGTGTCCACCTTTTGGATTTGCATCAATAGATCTTCTTTGGCAGTGCGTCCTCTATCCTCGGCATTGTCGGCTGGCAGCGTAGGTGATATCGCCTCCACTTGGGGATGATAAGCTTCCGTCGAAGACGACGTAAGGGGAGCGGTATTTGTCGTTGCACTTGTGCTGGCGCTTGCAGCAGCTGGTAATGATGGTGAGGTTGAAAAGTTTGATGTAGGACCAGAAGCAGCCGCAGATGTAGCGGACGATGATGTCTTACTTCCCAATGTTGTGGTGGAATTTGTTATTACATTCAATGCTGTATTTATCGCCAGCGAAGTTGGTGTTCCCCTATTCATTGGAGGTGTGGGCACTGTCGCAGGAGGAGGCAGTTGTTGTGTCTCCACTTTCAGTTGTTGCATTGTTAACGCTGAGGGTGGGGCAGGCACAGGCGCTTGAGGTTGGAGTGGAGGTTGTTGCTGTTGATGCTGCTGCTGTTGTTGAGAAGGTACCTGCTGTGGAGGTTGCGGGGTTAGGTGAGTCGGTGGCAATACCGATAAATGCGTGTGTGGAGGCAGCGATGGATGGCTAACGTGGTCAGTAGAAGTGGATCGCATTGCGTTCGCAGCAACTGCAGCACTCTGAGCTGCTAATAGAGCTGCTGACAGACCCACTGCCGGTGAGGGTTGACGCTGTTGTGGCAGCGGAGGTTGCTGTTGTGTATGCTGGTGTTGCTGCTGCTGATGTTGCTGTTGTTGTTGACTAGGCGGAGGTGGTTGCTGTTGTTGTTGGACATTCTGTACTTGATGTGTTGTAGGTGGCAGGTGATTTGAAGAATTAGTAATGCTTTTTGTAACATCACTCAGTCTCAGCTTCTTGTAGGGCTGTTGTCCGCCCGGGTCTGGTGGAGGAGCCTGAGGCTGTCCACCGTGCCCTCGATTGGCCGTCATGGCGTTGGCATTGGCGGCAGCTACTGCAGCTGCAGTACCCAGAAGATAATCAGCATTGGAATATTGTGGTTGCTGGCGATGAAGAGTGGACAAGACCATGCGTTTGCCACCGCCAGTCATTATGCTGCCCCCACTACCACTCACCGGCGGCGGAGGTTGCTGCAGCTGTCCCGCCGCTGAAATATTGTTGGCATTGTGTGGTGAACTACTGGGACCGGGCAACCCCGAATTAGATCCAGTCGCCGAACTGGGCGGAGCACTGCTAAGCAATTGCGTTGACCCAGTTGATACGCCTTGATGAGTCGCAGGTGGATGGGCAAAATGCAATGTATCCAGACCATGAGATGCACTAATGCTAACAGGAGGTAGCGTAAGACCTTGAACAACGCCAGTACTGCCGGGTGGTGGTACGCCTCCTGCAGCGGCCAAGGCTCCTGATATGCGGTAATCTGAATGCACAGCTTGCAGGGTTGATATTCTAGTGTATGGACTATCGCGATACTGAGCTCCCGGACCAAGGCCATAGGGACTCTGCAGAATGAAGCGATTTGGGGCTTCACGAACAGCATTGACATCGGTGTATTGGGCATAGGCATTGGCAGCAGCTTGCGAACCGGGTCCAGGCCGTGGCGGTGACAATGGACTAGCTGCCGAACGTGAGGATTTTTGTTGAAGCTGTTGTTGTTGTTGCTGCTGCTGCTGTTGTTGTTGTTGCTGCTGCTGCTGCTGTTGGTGATGATGATGCTGTTGTTGCTGGTGCTGTTGTTGCTGGTGCTGTTGATGCTGCTGGTGTTGTTGCTGCTGTTGCTGATGCTGCTGTTGCTGATGATGTTGTTGCTGCTGATGCTGCTGCTGTCGCCGTTGCTGATCTTCCAACAATTGTTTCATACGTTCCTGCACATGCTTGTCGCGGTGTTGCATTTTCTGAGCATCTAACTCTTGCTGGTGTTGTTGCATACTTTTGTGATGTGGAGGCCCCAGGCCTCCACTGACGCCCTGGGTATACGATGATGCTGAGGTGTCGGCAATTGGCCTGTAAAATCAAAAGAAGAAGAATAATAGCCGATTATTAGATTTGTTTGTAAACAAAACTATGTTAAGCTGTTGAAAAGAAATTAGCTACAACAGGGCCTCAATTCTTGTTCTATGAAAAGGTGAAATGAAAACTTTTATAAAGGAAATAAATGTCAAATGAAAAATTTTATAAAGGAAATATTTTTCATTTCATATTTTCATGGGACAAGAATCCAGCCCCAGGTTGCAATAGAACTATAATATGAAAATACAAGGTACCAATTTCGGAATCTGTGGCACTAAATCATAGTCAGCCGGTATTTTCATGAGAAATATTAATTGCTGAGTACCATGGTACAATGATATCAAGGTAGGGCTATGATACCATACCCAACATACCAAATTGACTTGAGAATAATATTTTAATAAGCTTACAAACATAAGCCTTAAGCTTGAGAAAATCTTGAGAATGTATTGAGAAATGCTTGTTTAACAATTATAGAATAAACGAAAGGGAACCCTTATTCATAAGCTTATTCTTGTAATTGCAGAATAAGCTTACGAAAGTAATATTATATCAAGCTTATTTTTTCAATGGTATAAAATATTTATTTTTTAATTATTTTACACATTTCATTCATTGATCGCCATCCCAGCTGTCGCTGCCTCCTATTGCATTGATACCTAGATGATTTCTTTCCCCTTATTTGAGCTTCCGCATCTCCTCCACTAATTCTTCACTTCTCTTGAATTCTTGCAACTTTTTGACGCCTCTATTCTGAAATGAGATTGAAATAATATACACTACAGATTCCCAGATTTATTATTCATTATTACCTTAGAGTTTCGTCCAGAAATGGGTCTTAAATTCGCGTGATTTTGATTTTAACCAAAGAAAATATTTTCTTGTCGACAATTTTCACAAAAAAAAAAATCAAAACAAATTTGTCAACAAAGGACAGATTTGAGAAAAGTTTGTGCAAAAAAGTTTTTCTCTAGCATTGTTGAGGAATTCTTACGATAATCTATTTTCATAATATTATTCTCAAGCTGTATTGTATTTTTGGTATGTTGGGTATAATTTCAATTTTTTATTTTCTTGGCTTAATATGTCATATTTATTTGTTTATGTATGTGTTTTCTTTTCAATAATAAAAAAATTGTTCAGAAAACATTCAAATTCGGATGTTTTCAAAATGTTTATTTCATCGTATGCATCGACAAATCTAGAGTTTTTGTAGCGAAATAATCCTTTAGAGTTTTTGTAGCGAAATAATCCTGGCTTTGAAAAGAAGTGTTGACCTTTCATTCAATTCTCGCTGTTTTCAATTATTTATTCAAAATAAATGCAACAAGTTGTTTGATTTTTTATTGTTTTGATACTAATTTTGGCATTACAAGCCAAACAGGTAGACCTCAATTTTTTCAAAGTTGGCCTACCTTCTCTTCATTGTACCATGCTGAGTACATAAAGATGAAGCCAAGATCCATATTAGATCGGATGGAAAACATTTTAAGATTGTTGTCAAAATACATTTTTGTTTTATTTGAAATACAAGGAAACTCAAATCACATCTTCTGATGTTGTCAAAAGTGTTGTCATGGTTCGACCTTATATGGCTCTCCGATGGACAATATTAATAAAATTTATTAACATTTAGAAAAAAAAAATAATAACCAGACATAAACCATACCCAATCAGAAAACATGTTTTATGTTTGAATTTTGAATTTTAATAAAAATAATAATCAGTAAATATTGTACATATACAAGAGTATTTTCAACATCAAATTTCTTACATTTTTGTGATTTTGGTATTTCTTACAAAATCCACTCCCAATTCCCCTTTTAGGTATAAATTTTGCCTTACAACATTGGTTTGTAGAAACAAAAACGTCGTTTTTGTTAAATGTTAATATAATATTTTTTTAATTTTATTTTATATAAAAATAGATTTATATTTTTCAGTACATAAATAACTAATATAGACTAAAAATAAAAGATTTCTTATATACTTAATAACCCAGAAAAAACAAAGAAGTCCCAATTTTCGTTCTTTTCCAACCAAGAAGGTTATGTTGTAAAAGCGAACATTGTCACGAGCTTTCACAAATAATATGTATAAATAATACAATATCATATAATTTGTAGGCATTTTTACAGCAGACAATAAATGCACTGATTTCGTAAGAAAAACGGCATTTATTGTGGCATTTGCAGTCGGGGACGTTTGGCAGCCACTGATGTCACTACTCCGGTCTGCGGTTGATTAAGATTCTTGGCTTGAGCCTCAGCCAGCATTGCAACGGTACGCCTCAGATCATTGATTTCCTCTTGCATTTTGTCATAAGTGGGCCTTTTATAAGAAGAACAATATCAAATAATTAATAAATATATATATTTCTGGGTGGTGGCGTTGTATATGTGTAACATGGCGCATTTGATGTTTACTTCGTGCCTATATTCACTCAGATTATGAAATTTTTGTATTGACGTTACTCTGGTTATGGATAGTTCTACATCGTATGCACACACAGTTAGTATTTAACATCTCAGAATTATCCACCTTCATTTATGAATGAACGGATTCAACACAAAATCAAAAGTCAATGTCACTGTCGAATGCTTACTTCAATTTTAATTGGGACTGAAAATATTTTTAAATATTTAATAATTGAAATACTATATAAATACTGGTTTGTCCTTCAAGTTGGGTTGGGTTCCAGGCCATTACAATGTTCCAGGTAAAGAGACAGTAAATGAATTGTCAAGACAGGCATACGAATCAACTGACATTGAAGTTGAGAACTCGGTTAGACCAACCCTGTGTGTCTTCTTTCGTGTGATACAATGCCTAGATGAACAGGGATGTAATGTCCCTAAGAAAATCTGGCCTACGAGAAAAGCACAAGATCGCCAATCTCATTGGCGAAACCTGACCTAAGACTTGTGGTGGATATCATCAAGGGTCACTGCAGCGTTGGTGCCATTATATCTAAATGGAGTAGCGAAGATACTAATAACTGTAGGATCTGCAAAGATGAACAAGAAATTGAAACAGTCGTGCATTTGCTCTGCCACTGTCCAACTCTCATCAATGTGAGCCACAGGCTTGTGAGAGAGAGAAAATAATAAACGATCTATCTTCATTTTCCAACACAGAACCAGCAGTTATTCTTAAGTTAGCCAGACGATAAAAGATGCTAAAGACGACACAAACTTTTTGTCGTGGACTTCTATTTAATTATCGTATTATTTCCCGATCTCTTCTCTTTTCCCAATTTAGGACCTGCATTTCTCCGAGTGGAAGCGGTTTCCCTTAGGCAACCACGAGAACTTTAAGCTAATCTAACATAAATGCCAAAGACCAATGGAACATTGTACCGTCATTTTTTTAACATGATCTGTAATACCACATAAATAATGGCTTCTCTACAAAGTGCGTCCTAACATAAATAAATGAATGTCTATATTTATTTATATATCCTTTCTAAAATAGTTATTGGCCTTTAAAGAAGTTTAGTAGTTAAGTAGTTGAGCTTACGAAGTAAAATGCTTAATGAATCATAAATCATGTACCCGATCCAAAATTGTCACTTTGCGGCCAGCAAAACTTGCCAAATTTTGCGAGCCAAGTTTCATTCAGAAGTTCATTCCTTGACTGGTGATAGCAGAGGTCCGTGTCCGATTTAATGGTCATATAAAATGTGAGGGACTCTTGTATGTTTATTGACTGGCATTTATGTTAATGTCTACAGTTTATTAAGGGTGTGAGGTCGACCATATCATGGCAAGGATTTGGTAACTAAACCTAATTATCGTCGAGATATCAATAAAAGTTCGTTAGAATACAGTGGGTAACCTGACAGCAAACCTTTGGCACTAATAGGCACGGGGTCACACAAACCCCCAACGTTAGGGGATCCTCTTTATATGGGGAGATTTGGATAATTCGCCACAGCAGGAGCTTTGAGAGTAAGGAAGCATTAATTTATTGATTCTCTTGCACCTCATTTTTCGACATGAAAAAGTAAAATATATAGTAATGCAAATGCAAATCGCCTGTCAAGGATGTGTGGTCTGCTCCAAAAGTAGAGGCTAAAATACTAATCACTCTGACCTTCTACTTCAATTTGGTCTTGCTAGGTATGTAAGCATAACCCCCTTCAAGGACTAACAATCTTTGATTTTACGATTTAGAATAATACATCGGTCCCCACTTGACATTGACTTTTGATTCTAAAATTAAAGCCACTGCTGGCTGTATTCCTGTCATCTTACAACACATCAAGCGCATTCCTATACACACATACACAGCAGTATCAGTAATTTTATATGATAGTTTTATAGCATACTTAGCATACTCAGGAACATTTAAAGCAGAACTGGGACCACCAACAGGAACTGGTTTCGATTGTATATTCATTACGGCGGGTTTGGTTAATTGTTTGACACCAGCTGCGACAGAGCTTGCTGTGGGACTCTGTAAATTTGCTAACGGTATCGGCTGTATAAAGGGAGGTGTTGGACGTGTCATAGCGCCAGCAGCATTTGAAGCAGTTGTATTAAGAGGAACTGTAGTGCCCCCTGTTTCTGCACTAGCTACAGCTGTAATCTTCAAATTGGGATGCATACGTACTGGCAAATTTATGGAGGTATTTGGATGTATTTTTGCCGCTACCGGGGCAGGAGTGGTTGTCGAGGTAGCTTTAGCAGTGGTCATAGTTGGAATATGTGCAGTGTTGAGCGATGCTAAGGCTTGCTTATCTCCACCCATTGACCGGTTTAATTGGTTGGGAGGAGGCGGCTGTGCCGGTGGATTAACTGTAGACACCACAGTAGTTGAGGCTGCTGTTGCCGTTGATCCTTGACCATTCATAATTTTCCTTAACATTTGATCGGCACTGTCTTTCTGTGTGGTCAAAAGCTTCTGCATTGTTGCCGGCTCATTGTTGGTGATTTTCTTCAAATAGGATTCATCCGTGTCGACGACAACATAGTTAACAACATGGACATGTGAATTGGGGACAATGCGAAAAATCGGTTTGGTATTTGGATCTCCGTTTGGATTCTTAATGTCCATAAGTTTGGCCGACTGGCCCTCAACTTGAAAAACGGATGTGAAACCATTAACCAATATGGGTTTATCCATAACCTTGGGTTCCGAAATGAATTGTGTGGACTTTCGTTTCGGCACCATGGAAATTAGTTTATTCACATTACAGTCGGGATTTTCACAGCGTCTTTCAGACGTTTGCACCTGTGGGGTGGTGTTGATGCTGCCAGTTGTGCTAACGCCAACGCTTGGTATGGCAGTCTCTGTTGAGTCCATCATTACTCTAAAAGATATGGCAATTTAATTGATTTATAAAAGAATCTTCTTTTTATAAAAAATTCAAAATATTTACTCTGTTCTGCAACAAACACACACAAAAACAAGTGATTGTCAAACTATCGTTGTTTATGCCTTCCTCTTCTTCTTATTTTTAGTAATGGTGTGGTGTATTTGTTTCGGTAGTTTCCCCAGTACAACACTGCGTGGTAAATGTTAGTTTGAAAAGCACTGCTTTAGCGAATCTTTGACGGTTTGCACAAAGATGTGGTTTGTGTAGCAAAAGACAAACAATATTGTCCCGATTTCAATTATTATTGCAAATATGACGACTATTTTTTATTCCATATCCCCAGCACTGCACCGTAGTTGTTTTCGGAAATTTCACTTCCTTTTAATGGTGCAACATCTTCGGCAAACAGCAGAAACCTCAGGCGATAGTAGAAGATTTTCTGTAGTTATTTTTCCTCAGATCTGCAGAGTACCAAGCAAAACTGACGATTTTATGGATTTCTGATGAATTGAACTCGTCGTATTATTTTTCTTGAGGAAAATAGCAATTTCTCTTGCGTTATGGAAGCTTTGCAACTGCTTGCGTCTTGTTTTCCTTATGAATGCCTCACGCACCAAAGAATAAATGCCAAAAAATGTGGTGAATTCTTGTTGACAATTGCCTATCTGGGGTTGTAAAAAGAGACAACCATATGAGAAGTGTCATTCGCAAAAGAGAAAAGACAAAACCGTTTCATTAAATTTCCATGATGGCCGACTAGCCAGAAACACATTCTGGCAAACAGTTTGAACGTAAACGGCAAAGCAAGAGTCGAAGGTATAGTCATACTGCTCGATTTCGTGCAACAAATTTATAATGGCTGACTACTGAAACGGTTCAGACTTGTGGACGCAACCACAACGTGTTGTGTGTTTTGTTTTCATAGTGGTGAGTTCTTTTGTATGAGGGAGGTGGGTTGCAATCAGACCGGGTTCGTTAACGTTTGATGCAAGCATGTTGCTGTTGTAACAAATTGTTCGATCGATGTTGTTTGAGGACCCAAATGTTTTTTTTTTCTGGTTGTTTGTGGTTCTTGTTTGATGTTGGAGCATTTTAAAGCAGGTTTTCTTTACATTGTTGTTGCTGCTGTTTGTGATAATGGTAATTTGCAGAATTTTTATTAAATTTTCTGTACGACTTTTTTGTGGATACTTTTGTTTTTTTTTCTACCGAACAACTTTTAAAGGAAAATACTTTGCAACGCCTCAAATAGGGATTTTTATTTAAAAAAAAAAAACAATGTTTTATGCTATACTTTCTATTATTCCATTATTAATATTTAGTATTTTTTAATCATTTTTGCATTTGAATTGAAAAAAAGATCAACAAAAACATTGGACAATTTAGACATTTCTGATCGTATTTTCAAACTTCAATGTTGCATCACATATAACAGAGCATATGTGAAGAACTAGAGGAGAGTAAAAGTTTTTACTACGATAACCGATTTCCCCCCTTTATGATATCGAAGAACATTTCAAAACTAGTAGATTCTTGCAGGTACTGGAACAGAGCAATAGTATATTTGTATCCCAGAGTATTGTAAATTTAAGTTATGCTCTGTTCCACAACCTGCAAGAATCTACTAGTTTTGCAATTTTTTTTCGATATCATAAAGAGAAAATCAGTTATCGTAGTAAAAATGTTTACATTCTTGTTGTTCTGCGAAAGAACATTAATTTTTAATTGAAAAAAAAAATTAACGCCAACAAATAGTTTACACAAAGGGCACACTAGTCCCCCCTTAGCGTTGCCACATTTGTAAATGATTTTTCTTTAATTATTCGTGATTGAAGAATGTTTCCATGAGAAAATAAAGCTGTTTTTGGGAATAAAATTCCACGTGGACATAATTTTTTTTTCTCAAATTGTTAAATATTTTGTTGATGTCAAGTTTAGTTTCTTGCGGGATCCAATGGCAGACATCTGAGTTTCCTTTAGAAAAATGGTTTCGGCCACACATTGTAATTAATATTTTCCGATAGCTTATCAATGCTTCATTTCCTTCGCTCACTCAGGCAATTAGTTATTTTCCTCAATATTCCACCAAAATCTATTATTAAAATGAAATTCCCATCTTTAAATTTGCAAAATTTCTTGAATTTCGGCCTCTTTTTTCTCTCTCTTTAAAGTACGACGACGACACTCACATCAAATCCCAAAAAGAAACAACAAAGTTTGTGAAAAACGCCCAAAATTTACGACCCTGGACGACATCCATTTGAGAAAAGTTTCTTCTTTTTACGACAGCAACAACAACAAATACACACCCATACTCCACCAATAATCTCTAGGCAACAAAGAAGAAAAATTATTGCTAAAGTCCCAGAAAAAGAAATGAGAACATTAAGCATAACAAAAACAAAAAAAATAAACGAAAAACTGCGACATTAGACAAAAAAAAAAAAAACAGAAACAAAAAGAAAAAGAAACTTCTATGGCAGTATCAACAAAAAAAGGCACACTGCAGAATCCTCTGAGAACATAAAAGTAATAAGAGAATAGAATAGTATGAGATATAACAGGAGCATTACATCTCTCCCCAAACCACCCACACACTCAGCAACCAAACGCCCACACAAGTAATTGAGAGATGTAACAGAGCAAGAAAAAGAAAACAAATATATAATGGAGGGGTGGGGTGGCAAAACACCAAGAACTAGAACAAGAATTGGAATGGAAATTATAATGGTACGTGATGGAAATGGAAGATGGAGGATCCTATAGAAATAAAATGGGTTAGCTTTGTTTTAAATTTTGTGAAAAAAACTTCAAATTCCATTTAAGGACAAACACACAAAAAGCATTACTCTTTGCCATACTGTGTAACATACGGCAAAGCTGACAGTAGTAACACTGCATGGTTGGGGGTTGGGAAACAAACACAACATTGCGAGCATAATAAAACATGAACTGACATCAGTCAGGCACAGTCAGAGCGAGTGAGCAAAATATGGCAAAAAGGCAAACAAAAATCCATTAAAATTCAAATGGAAACTTTTTAAATTATTAACGAACAGAACATTGAAATAGATTTTCCAGCAACACGAGACGACAGAGATCGCAGAAAGCAAACAACAAGAACAAAGAATGTGCAACAGAAAGAAGAAACTTGAGAATAAAAACCAACAAATTCTTGAAAAGTATGGCGAAAAAAAACACATTCAACGGTGAAATGAAATAAAAGTGGAAGAAACAACTTTTTTTCATTTCCATTTAGCCATGGAGTGCGTACGTAATGGAAGTGGTGTCGTGTGTGTGAGTGTGCCCGCAAATGTTTAAGTTTGATGAAAGGAAACTCATTAAAATAAAAAGAAAAACAAGGCACAAAAAACAAAACGTTGGTAGAAGGGAGCTTTCAAAACAATTTCAAACACTCACATGCCCATATTCACACAAGTGAAAATATCGATTTTTCTTTGCGAGTTTTCTGTCCGTCTTTGTTGATGTGGAGATGATGGCATTGTTCTTATTGTGCGGCGTCGATCCCCCCCTTAAAGGAAACTTTTTTCGTTTCCAAAGTGCCTACAGAATTGGAAAAGAACAACATCCTAGCCAAGCAACAGCAATATGAACAAACTTTCCAAACCAGAGTTGCCATTTTTCTTTTCAAATATTCTCTGCAAAGGATTAATTTTAGAGAAACCCATTTGTTTGGTTATTTTTTTCAAAAAAAAAAATGGAATAATTTGGATCTAAAGATTCTTTTTTCATTTAACATCTGCATTGGACGGACGAACCATCTGTGACTTCTTCAAGAATGAGATATTTTAATTAATTACAATGTTTTTTTATTTATTTTTGAAAATTTATTGAAATAATTAATGTTAAATATCGACCAAGAGAAACAATAGTGAGGTTTACCGTTCAGGATTGTATTTTAAAACTTCTTTGTTGCTCCACAGACTTATCAACATCCAACACATGCCATTCTGAGAGAAATTTTGCAATTACAATTTACAAAACAAGTTTTTTTGTTCAGATTCAAAATGTTGTTTAGTTTTTAAACTATTAAACAAATATTGAATCATTTTTTATAAATGTTGAAAATTTTGCAATTTCATTAAAAGTATATAAGAACTTTTTGCTACAAGTGGGCACCTGTATCCAATTGTCAGGCTGACCCTGACCCCAGTCAATTTTAGCTGTTAATTTATGGTCGGAAGGTTCCCCATACACACTTTATATGTCGAAGAGATTTCGGTTGTTATTGGTGTCTAATTGTGGACAAACACACTGACATGGTTTTATTTGTTAATAAAAATAATTTTAAGGTATCTATTTCGTAGTTTTTTTTTTTAATTTTTGTTTAGTTTAATGTCTAAAATGTCCACCCTCATGCCGGACTTAGGAAGGAAAATCCCTAATTTTATTGGTTATCCAGTTAGGCGACATAAGAAAAAATTGCATATATATAAATATTTTAGAATACTCAGAGTTCTTTTGACAGTTCTTAACTGTTTCAAAAAGTTCCTGGTAAAATTTTGCTAATTTTAGCATAATTAGAGTCTTTTTAATTTAAAGTCTCCAATATTTATTTATTTTTTCTTATTGTACCTGATTTTACCTATATTACACCCGTTGTAAAAGTTGCCACATTTTACCTAATTTTCCCGACCATACCCACCACACTACCACCTTCCTTCCAATTGGCAATCCTTAAATTTGCAATTCTGTTTTGCAAAACAAAACAAAAAGCCAACAATAACAAATATAAAAGAAGCAAAAAAAGTTTTTGTTTTGTTTGATTTTGCTCATTTTCGTTTTTTTTTTTTTTTGCTGATAGTTTTCATGTAATTTATATGCGAAACAGAAAAACTTTTACGCCGCACGTACTATAAAGTACAACAACGCCGTACGTCGTCCATACATCCATCCATCCAACCAACCAACCATTTGACATACAAACAAATCGTAATGTATGTAGATGGATATACAACAACAACACTTATTTACACAATACAACACCCACATTAAGCAAAAAAAACGCGAAAAAAATACAGAACCCATAGAGAGCTAAAAACACAATCATCAGCAACAACAACAACAAAAAACGACGGCTACGTCGTCGTCTTCTTTTTTATTCGACTACACAAACACGACGTCGACGAAGACCATCGCATCGACACACAAACTAAACAACGGCAACAGAGCATTGACAGCGGCAGCCTCTGACAACAACAAATACAACGGCAACAACAGCAAACTAATGTTAAATTTATGTTGAAATTTGGCAACAGCGCCTGTATAATGAATGACTTGAAAGTTTTGTTTTTATTTTTTTCTGTGCTCTGCTCTGCGTGTGTGTGTGCGAGCATGTTCGCATTGTTATTGTTGCTAAAATCGTACCGCATATCTCATCAACGTATTAAGAACACTCTTTAATACGTGGGTGGTATGAAAAGTAAACTAAATTTAATACCATTTATTATTTATTGCAGAAAGGAAAACAATGTTTAATTTATAGAAATTATAGAAAAATCCTTTTGATAATTGGGATGGAATGTTGGATAGATTTAAGAGAGTACATTTATATCTCAGAAAAAATGGGGAAAATATAAAAATAAGAAAAAATGTGAGTGATATATAAGGTCGACGCTTTAAAATACATAATTATAGTCAAATTACCTATTCTTTTCAAAACATAAAAGAGAGTGCATTAAGACTGTAAAATTAATTCTTGAGACTTTTGGGTATATTTTACTATGGTTGTAGTTTCTACGAAAAAAAATAGAAAAGAAAGTGAATTTTTC